AACCTGCAAACCACAGGGTCGCCAGTTCAATTCCCAGTCAAGGCACATGCCTGGGTTGTGGGCCAGGTCTCCAGTTGGGGGTGTGTGAGAGGCAACCACACACTGATATTTCTCTCCCTTTCCTTCTCTCTCTTTTCCCTTCTCTCTAAAAATAAATTAATTAATTAAAAAAAGTCTCAGAAGAAACAGGGCCCAGATCTAGTAGGGCCTTAAAGGGCTGTGTGAGGATTCAGCACTTGACTCTGATGCAGGAACAGGGGAGCACTGGAAAGGAGTTGAATTAGAAGTCTACAGAGGGAACGGTATCAGTGAAAAGGAGTGCCCTGCAGTCAGGGAGCCTGAAGTAGTGACCAAAGAAGCTGCAGGAATCAGCAAGTGCTGCCTCTTTGAGAGAGTGGAAACACTCAGCTGGACTTGACTTCTCTCCATCGTTGTGTTCACAGCCTTCACTGCACATCTGTGCCACTACACATGACGTAGAAGCTATGTTCCCGTGGGTGCCTGGATATTCTAGGTAGGAAAAAATGAGAGAGGAGGAAGTCTGTATCAAAGCAATGACATGCACTCTGAATCTCAGCAACTCTCAACACACGCGGTATTTGTCATGATGAAGGGAAGAGGATGACTTTTGGAGTCAGGCAGACCAAGGTGTGAATCTCAGATCCATCACTTACTGCCTTACCTGCTTAAACCCATCTCAGCTTGTTTGTTAATCTGCTTAAGGGGGGATCTTCATATTCATTTACTCATTTCTCACGTTTCTTGGTCAATAAATACTAAGTGAGGAAAATAAAGCAGACCATCAATAAATCAAAATCAATGCTGGCAGTGCTGACAAAACACAGTATCTTCTTTTCTGTATCACCTAATTCCATTTTACGCTTGCAGGGGGAATTAAACTTGGACTTAAGTAACATGTTAAGGTGACGCACTTAATGGGTGGGAGTGAGATAGGCACTCAGGCGTTCTTTTCACTCTATTGTGCAAGAACATCTAGATGAAAACATAACTTTCTTTGAACTCAGTGACTCTGAAAAAATACACAGCTTACCTAAATAGTCAACTCTGAATGTCATCAATGAATGCCACACACACACACACACACACACACACACACACACACACACACATACACACACAACATAGCTCTTGATGAAAAGAATCCTTTTGGGCAAGACACAGTGATATTGAGCGCACAAGCTAGAGAGATGCGAAGACTAGAATTCAAATGCAAACTCCACTCTAAGCCTTCTCTTCCATGAAATTCATTCAATTGTCTGTCAGTGAAAAGGGATACAAGGCTCAGCACATGGCCTGGCATATAGACTGTACACAGCAAATATTGCCTGTCTTAACCTCATCCTTTTCCTTCTCACTCCAGGGAAAATTCAATGTCAACCTCTTCGAGCAGTGAGATTTCTACTGTGGAAAATATTTTCTCTCCTTGTTTCTAGTTGGATATTGATGGATGGTAGTTAATGGTTGTGTCAGCTTGCTTTTGATGCATAACAAACTACCCCCAACTTAGTGACTTTAAAGAACAACCAATTCGTGCCCTCACAATTTTGCAGCTCAACAATTTCAGCTGGGCTCAGCTGAGTGGTACTTCCGCTGTTCTCAGAAGGCTTACTTAGGCTTCTGTGGTCAGTGCCCTGTCAGCTAGGGGGGCTCTGCTGGGAGTGACTCATGATCTAGGATGGTCTCACCCACATTTCTGGCATTTGGTTCACTGTCAGCTGGGGTGAAGGGCACACACGAGCCATGGGTCTCTCATCATCCACCTAGGCCAGGCTTCTTCATATTGTTCTCATCTTGCTTGAAGAGCAGCAAGAGAGGGCAAACTGCAGTACACCACCATTTTTCAATCCTTTGCTTGCTTCACGCTTGCTATCGTCCCACTAGACAAAGGAAGTTCCATCTCCAACGCCAAGGACAATGTGGGAGGAGATACCAGCAGGCATGTGCAAACTGCAGTTGTTACTGTAACAGGCCACTAGTACAGTGTTTCATCAAATGACCTTGTTCATTACAGGGGAAATACTTAACTGTGGACAAAACGGGTGGGGGAAAACTAGTCCGTCAAAAAGGATTTTGACCCTTCTTTAGAAATAGCCATCATTGCCCTGGCTGGTGTGGCTCAGTGGATTGAGAGCAAAACGAAGGGTCGCTGCAAAGCGAAGGGTCGCTGGTTTAATTCCCAGTCAGGGCACATGCCTGGGTTGCGGGCCGGGTCTCTCGTGGGGGGCCCGGGAGAGGGAACCACATATTGATGTTTCTCTCCTTTTCTTTCTACCTCCCATCCCCTCTCTCTAAAAATGAATAAATAAAATCTTTGTTTACAAAAGATTTTAACTATCTTGCCCTGTTATCCTAGTAGGTGAATGATACAATTATTGGGTGAAATTCTGGGGGTAAAAAAAAACTGATTTCAAATTTTCTTTGACATTGTACTAAACCTACAAGTCGTGGACCCCTTTGTCTACTAACATGCTATGTATGTCTTTGCCAGTGTGAATCCAGCCCGTACCCCTTTCCATGTCGCAATGTTGCTATTCCTCTCTCCTCCAGTAAACATGGCTCTAGCAGAGGCATATTGCATAGGCAAAATCTAATGTAGAACTGATGGAACAAACTAGACGATGGCCCCTCTGGTGAGACAGGGAGATAGTACTCTGTGGTTGTGAAGTAGACTTGTGATGTGGCTGGGGCTTGGGTGGGACACTCCTCTGCCCAGACAGCAGCCCAATCTCCCGCCTTACTTGGAGTTCCTTCTGCTTTATTCACATCATTGTTCCAAGCTGAGTACAAGTTTATCATTCTCTACTACAGTGTCCTAACCATATTTGTAGGCTCCCTTGGTACAATTTATTTTGGGGTGGTTGATACTGCTACTGTGAATGTCATTTCCCCTTTCTAATTTTACACATGACTATTGTTGGCACACATGAAAGCTCTTGGTATTTTAGATATTACTATTGCATTTTACGATGCAAGGGAACTTTATGTTTACACCGTCTCTTACCTGTTCCCCAAGAACATATCTGTACCACCTGCAAGTAATGACAATTTTGTTTTCTTCACCAAAACGATAGACTTTTTCCTCTTTACAATCTCATTACACTGGAAAGAACACCTAAAACAATATTTAATGATATTGGTGATAATAGATATATTTGCCTAGACCCTGATTGTAATCGATTGTTTTCTAGTGGTTTAGCAGCACTTGTGTATTTGTTAGTATGGGCACACTGAGAAATACAGCCTGCTAAAATCTATTTTCCTCATTGGTGTTTAATCATGGGGTGTTTCCTTCCTTCATATGCTCTTGATCACCTTTCCATCACTAAAATAAGGTCAGTAGCAGTACTGTCTTTATTGACTGAAGTCATTCTCTCTATGTCTCCATTTAATCATTTTCTTCATATACCACCCATACACTTTTATCATACTATGCTCTAGATACTGCAGATGCCTGTTGCTGCTGAGAACAGGATCATTTTTATGAGCTATTCTGGATATAAATGAGGTGGAACAGACCCCGGGAAGCTGAACCAACTTGTTATTTAAAAATTGGACTATAAGTTTCATAACTCCTTTCCCCTTACATCTCAGTGGATTTCCACGTGAAGGAATCATTTCATTGCAGGAGTGAGTTTTTGGTGATCTTGCTTGCCTGATGCCAGCGGAGTGCCTGTTGGTAAGAGAGGGACAAAGATACCTAAGTCGCAATATGGCAAAAGTTTAACGACATCAAAGGTCTTCTCCATAAGGCTAGTACTACTGTTAGGGCAGACACACAATACAAAACTTTAAAAAGACAGAGAACGCTTTAGGTTGTTGAAGTCTTGGCTGGGGGCGGGGTGGGACTGCTTGTCCTAGGGGACAGGATGACCAGAGAGGTGCGAAAGTACCGAGTGGCCTTGCTGCAGTCCCACACCAGAAAGCTTCTAAAAATCAAAATGTAGAATAGGAAGGGATTTCCATAGGCATGTTTTCCAAAACCCCAAACAATATCTATTAATGAGAGAGAGAGAAGGGTGGGTTGTGTGCAGTCTGCTGGAGGATAAAGATTCTTGGGATTTTGTAAAACACTACTTTGGGTAGCTCTCCAGCTGCTGGGTGAATATGACTCAAATGCAAGTAGGCGAGGGCTTACCGTTGAAGAAACTGAGAAACAAGGGGAGGGAGGTAAGATGTCAATAGGGGTTGAAGAAAAGTGTTAAGTTATGGGCTGTGCCAAGATGCCTGGCAAGGTGAAGAATCTGTTGAAGAAACAAAATTTCCCGATATGACTCAGCGAAGATTAGGGAAGACTTTGACTCAAAAACACTCAGGATCATTCTGACAAACGCGGCTTTGGAATAAATAAGCCGGTACCATTAATTAAGGGCGATGACGAAGATGCACTTGACCCTACTGTGTGGAGAATGCGTGCCTGTCTGTTTCCTGAACCTGGTGGGCAGTGAGGGGAAACGTCCCGTGACGCCACGTTTAGCGCCTGGGCACACGTGGAAACAGTGCTGGCTCAAGTCACAATGCGGTGAATTTACTTCGCGTGAAGGAGGTTCCCAGCCCGAGACGTGCGGGGCGCCTGCGCAGTGGGCCCGAGGCGCCGCGCTTGCGGGAGCCGCGAGACCCCCCGCCCCCGCCCCTCGCCCTCCGGCGGGAACGCGCACGTGGGAAGGGACGCGCACGCGTACGCGAAGGCACCTCACCTCCCTCTACACCTCCGGGGCGTCTGAGGAGGGGGCGACACGCGCAGGAGCTGCGTGCCGAGCTGCGTTCTCGGGGGTGGCGGCGGCGGCGGCGGCGGCAGCGGCGGCAGCGACTGCCGGCACCGCGCCTCCTCCACGCAGAGTTCCGTGCTCCGGACCCTGGCGGTGGAGGGGCGGACTGACTGACGTCTTTGACGTTCCGCCCCCCGCCCGGCCTCGCCCCCCCGCCTCATCTTGTCTTAAGCTAGGGACTCGCGGGCTGAGGCTTCTTTCTCACCCCGCCCCTCGTAGCGGCCCTTTCTCTCTGCAGCACCTCGTCCGGAGGCGGCGGCACGCGAGCAGCAGGGAGCGCGGGAGCTGGCGGCCTGGAGGATGAAGTGCAAACCCAACCAGACGCGCACCTATGACCCGGAGGGCTTCAAGAAGCGGGCGGCATGCCTGTGCTTCCGAAGCGAGTGCGAGGACGAGGTGCTGCTAGTGAGTAGCAGCCGGTACCCGGACCGCTGGATCGTGCCGGGCGGGGGCATGGAGCCCGAGGAAGAGCCGAGTGGCGCGGCTGTCCGAGAGGTGTACGAGGAGGCTGGAGTCAAGGGGAAGTTAGGCCGGCTCCTGGGCGTCTTCGAGCAGAACCAAGATCGCAAGCACAGGACGTACGTGTATGTCCTGACTGTCACTGAGATTCTGGAGGATTGGGAAGATTCGGTGAGCATTGGGAGGAAGCGAGAGTGGTTCAAAGTCGAAGATGCCATCAAGGTCCTCCAGTGCCACAAGCCTGTGCATGCCGAATACCTGGAGAAACTAAAGCAGGGCGGTTCCCCCACCAATGGAAACTCCGTGGCCCCGTCCGTGCCCGGGAGCGACCCCTAGTATGTACCGCTCCTGCACAGACCCCTCTGCTTCCCGCCTGTCCTAGAACACCTAGTGTCCGCGCGCCTCCAGTGTCCTGTGCAGGCTTCCCGGGGGAGGGGGGCTCCTTTTGTTTCCTTGGCAGACCTCTGAATCACGCTTGCAAACTGTCTCAGTTGCCAGGCACTGTTTTCAGACAATTTGCACGTTTTTCAGATGCTTTGAGAATCGCTTCTTAGTAGCGCTGTTTAACATAGTGCAGAATGCCTAAACCGCATGGGTTTTCTTGAACGGTGCCTTCACTGCTCTCCCAGCCCTTGGGGTGTGTGTTTTGCTTGTGTGTGCTTGTGCGTGTGCGTATTCGCATTTTTGGTACCAGTCTTGTGGTTTTGTAGCGAAGGCATTTAAAATCCGATCACCTTGGTTGTCTGAAATCTGTCACTAATTTTCTCTCTGAAGTTGTTTCCTCATTGACAGCATTGGCCCTTGTCAGCAAGCCATGCTTGTGGTGCGAATTGATTTAAATGATCAGTTTTGAATTTTTAAAAACGATTTAAGAAATTTGACACGTTGGGCTCTTGCTGTGCTTGACAATACTTTTATCTTTAGAAATGTGGTCTGATTTTTCCCTTTTCAGAAATTTCTTTATTCATTTGCACATAATTTGATTTGCAAAAATGGTTCACACTGGTAAGTTTTGAGTGCTTGCTTGAAACGACCATTCCCCATGTAGCCCAAATGTAGTTTCACATGGTATTATTTTATGGAGTACACATTTCCCAGGGAGGTGTTGTTAGACAAGCACACCCATAAATCTTATCAGGAAAACTATTCATAGAGTGTGATGTAGCATGCTCAAATTCCAACACTCATTGCCCCTTTCTCAATACCCGTAGAACAACCATGGTTTTCTCAACAAAAACTAGTTTTTGAAAGAAAGTTATTTCATGTGTTTGAATATAGCAACGTTCCAGATAAACTTCCTGACAACCAGTAAGCGCATGAATGGGATCTCTATAGTGATCACGACATCCCAATTGAGTGAGGTACCTTTCTTGATGTTCAGCTGTTACAGACTTTCAAAGTGTTAGGACACATGCACATTCTCTCTTAAAGACTTTTTTCTTGGGTGACAATCTTTCATTTTATTTGCCTCAGTGCTTGCTTGTCATCAGGACTCCCATCTAAAATACTTAAGTCTCTTCTGGAACTATCTTTATTCCCCAGGCACATCTCCCCATAAACTTTTAATACTGTAGTTAGCAGATTTTAAATGTTCACAGGCAAACAGGGCTATGAGAAGTGGGAAAGTAAAGTAAAATGACTTTTTCATGAGATAGAGTTTGGTGTGATAGAAACTATATTGGGGCTTTAAGTCAGACAAACTGGGGTGAAAACTGATTCCAGTTCTAGCTCACTGTCTTCCTTCAGCCAAGTTATCTAACTTATCTTATGCTCAGTTTTTTTAAATATAAAATTGGAGATAATAAAAATAGATACTTCATAAACTTCTATGAGAAGCCTTTCCTGACCACCTGAGTTAAGATATTCTCTTCTGCGTGTGTCACGGTTCTCACAATTTACTGTGCTTACCTCTTTGTATGGCAGTGTGGCCATTAGAACTCAAACTCTTTAATGGGTGGGAAGAAGCCTGAATTATTTCCAAAAGGCTTCAATTTAGAACATGGAATTCAGGATTTTTTTGTCTCAGATGGCCCACCCCCACTTTTGCAAAACTAGTATCACTTCTTTCCTGACTTTTGTTTCATAATACATATTGACCTGTAAGTCCCTTAGCTGCTTATCCAGACTCACATTACATCTGCATTAGATAGCCTTTCAAAGGCTTTCCAAATGTGAAGTGAGTCATGCTGATAACAGGTCCTTTGTGAATTTGTTTGGAGGAATTGTTAAATTAGTATAATCCTGCTAATCATATGTTGGTTTGCTTTTTCCAGATAAACAGCAAGATCTTCAGGATTGCTCTGAAAGAATCATTAATGTGAACCATTGATCAATGGAACTGTCAAGTACAGGTGACCACTTCCATATTTCCTCGAAGACAGCTCATCTGAGTTTCCTCCTACATCTTGGGACAGCCCTTTCCTGTCTATTCTACTGACTCCTCTTGCCTTGGTTATTATACTGTGTACGTGAACAGACTTTTTAATTCAGCACCTATAGCCTTTTGTTGTGCTTTTTGATGGCTCTGCCTTCTCCATTAGTCTATGATATCCTTGAGAGGAAGGACCACATTTCCTTACTCTGCATATTCTGAATCTGAGACACTACTTGAAATATAGTTGACATCACTGAAGGTTTTTTGATTTAATTCATATTTTGTCATCATTGTGGCAAAATATTCCCCTTCCACTTTGGTGCTAGTAGAATATAAATGCTGGCTAGGCACCATGTGTGTGGCTTTTTTGTATCAGGTGTTTCAGAAACTTTTCAAGGCAGTAAAAAGATGTTGAAGGACAAGGATCACTACTCATATTTCTCTGTCATACCACACAGTGGCTGGCACAGTGTTAAGATTACCCCATACTTAGGGCAACATTTTGTAGACTCAGTCCTTTGTGTAACAACTTCAGTGTTTTTGTACTGTTGCTAATTTGCTTAAAATTTTATTCAAAAATCACTTGCTATAAAACTAACTGTAAAAGTAAATGCAATGAACAGAAGCTAATATTGCGAGCTTTTATAAAAATAAATTTTAAAATGATATGCAAATAATAAATTTGATATGTTTGCAATGTTCTAACCACTTCTTTCATGTAATCTTAACATCTCTTTGAAGAAAAGATTGTTTTTCTCATTTTAAAGATCCAGTATACTGTATTATTTGATGCCAGGGCCAACAAAGACCGCAGTATAGGCAGTTTCCAAAGTTAATTATGCCTCTTAGTTTGCCTAGGGCTTTTTTTTTTTTTGCATCTCTCACTGATTCAGTTGGCCATGTTTTTTATTTCCTTTTCCAGTACACACTACTAGCTCTTCATCCCACCTGGTTTCTGCATGTGGGAATGCAGATGACTGAGTGACAGTTAAATTGTTGTCGCTTGGAAAAGGCACTGGGGGGAAAAACTTCTGTGAATGGGGAACAGAAAATGAAATATTTAGAAAGAGATGACTTGGGTCAGCTGCTTCCAGGAGAGCAACTTTGAGAAAATGATAAAGATGTTTAGAAGAATTTTTATGGAGTTTTGCCATGGGGTTTATGATGTCAGCAGTCTTCCCCAGCTCCCTCCAAAGGCCCCAGAGTGGCTTTCTTTTACATTGTAATGCAATTACATGGGAAAAAACTTGGGCTTCATTTCAGTGTTACACCATTCCTCATGGTACCAGTGAAATATATTGATTGTTCCCCACAGTCCTTGCAGGTTTTTACATAAAAACACATGTCCCCAATTTATTGTTTTTTTGTAGATGTAAAAATGGTACTGCAGTTATGTTTTTATTTTAAATACTTACCTTTTAGAGAAATGTACTGTAAATTTTACAGATAACCTGAGATACTGTTGGTATTTGATTCAAAATAATCTGAAGGTGGCATAGTTGAGGGTATAGGCGAAACTAGATTGGCTATAAACTGATAATTGTTGAAGTTGTGTGATGGATATTTGGGAGTTGGTTATATTATTCTCTCTACTTTTGTATATGTTTGAAAATTTCCATAATAAAAATTGAAAAAAAAAACTTCTTCAGTGTTTACTTGCAGGCCTCTCTCTATTTTTAAAAGTGGAAAAGGGTGATCAGAAAATAAATCCACAGCCCAGACAGACTCCTCCCCTTCAAAAACTTAGGTTTTGTTTCTGAACTAAACATATTTGCAGACTTGCTCTTCACTTCATGTGAATTCTTTTCTTGGAGGTCTCCCTGTCCCACATACAAAAATACCTATAGCCCCATCAGTATGCCAAAGATGACCCATTTTGAACCTCAGTTGTGGATGTAAGCTTGGGTTCTGGATAAGAGAACACGCCTCATTTTACAATTTATCTTTTAAAAAACATTGAATTTCTTCCCGATTACAAAATTAATTTATCTCAGAGAAAATTTGGAAAATTTCCCCAAGTTTGAAAAATAAAATATGTGTGTATTCTAGCCTTTAATCTTTGCAAATATAAATACGTGTAACCCAAACACAAATGGCACAGGTGAGCTCCTTCCACGAGAATATTTCCAAAATCCATGACCCCTTTATTAAGCACACACCACACAAACACCTTGCTATTCCTCAAAAAATTTTAGGCTAATGCTCAGGGCCATTACAGAATTTGTGTTGCTTCTGTTCTGCACAAGGGCAGCAGGTATCACACAAGACCTGTGTCTGAAATTCAGATCAAGCTCTCTACTCATCCAAGTCCTGTTGCAGGGAAAAATTGGCCTTCTCTCCCTTTCCCCCAATTCCCATACAGACTTTCTGCTCTCCAAGCATTGAGGCCTGTGGGGGGTAGCATCAATTCAGAGGGGATGCTCCTTTAATAAAGCACATGATTGCAATACATTGGCTAAAAGTAGGCTTGCTACTACCTTGTTTTCCAGAAAGTTTGCTCTCTTCTGTGGAGCCTCAGGAAGCCACCATATCACTACCTCCCTGCAGCCTCTGGCTCTTATGAGGTTCCTGCTTTTCTGGACAACAGTGATTTTCAAATAGGAAACAAGGAGGCTACCACTTTGGACTTGGGGAATGGAATTTGTTTTCCTTTTTCTACCTTTTAATCCCAGAACATGCTTTTATATCTTCCCTAATTTCCTATAGCACACCAGATATCAGGTCATAAATTTTACTGAAGAAAACCAGATTATGTGAAATACATGTAATACAAAGAGCACAACTAACAACTGCACAGGTCAGATGTTTTCTAGATTCCATTGCTAGACTAGTTTCCTAACATGGGCTGACTTCCCAGTGAAACACCACTTAATTGGTGACAATTATATGTACCTACATATGTGCATGCATGCACACATGTGCACAAGCATTGTAAGTTTCTAAAAATTGTTATAAGGGCATACAGCAAATGAATGAACATTTGTTCAAGAAATTCTACTAAACCTCTGAAAATAGTAAGAATCTATGTTCATTTGAGTTAAAACCAGTTTAATCTCTCCCAGGTCCATGTGACAAACTCTACTCCAGATATGGATGTGTGCAAGAGGATGGGGGCTCCCTACCCTCTCAGTCTCTAATCTGGGGCTATGCTCTAACTCCAGGAAAAGAAGGTCGCCAGTGTCTCTTTTCCTTCACTGTCCCACGTTGCAGAAGCACTGTTCCAGGAAAGCTTGGGCTGGAGGATTATCTCCCTACTGTAGAGTGAGTGTTCAGCTTCAGTCAGGCATGATAGGCCAAGAATTGTGGGAATCCCAATTCAATAGTGGGGTGCCCCCATTTACTTGTAGAGTGAAGTTTCTGTATGGAGACAAGCAAGCAGTGGCGTGTTAACTGCCAGAGAAGTGACTTACTATATCCACCCACCCCCAAGTTCAGGTACAATTAATTGTCTGGAGTTTCTGCCTGATTGGAGAGGCAGGCCATAAGAACTAAGCACAGCAGCTTTGCCTGAAGGGATTGAATTTGTTTGGAAGAGAACCTGGAAAAATTCATGCCTAAAAGCACTGTTGAAAACAATGGGCATCTTAATAGTGAGCAATTAAGAGGGGTCTGGTAGTTCCAGGATGCTAGTAGCAACAAGAAAATAGCACTACAGGACAACTAGACTAACATACATTTAAAGATCACTCCACCCAACAACAAAATGTGCATTCCTCTCAAGTACATGGAACCTTCTGCAGAATAGGTCATATGCTGGACCATAAACATATCTCAGAAAACACATCTTCTTGTTGCTGAAGAACAATTTCAGCAGATTTAGCATCAGAGCAGCTGAATAGTAGCTCCCATCCCCTCTAGCTTCAGGTTGCAGAAAAATTCTTCCATTTGAATCACCAGTCCAGTAGCTGTTCCCATTTCCCCCAGGTACCACTGTTGGATAAAACATAATTATAAACAAAATCTCTTGCCAACCCAGAAACCTCTCCACAAAGGTAGAAGTGAAAGAAAACAGTTTTATTATTGCATAAGTATTACACCAGAATGTGATATGCATACAGGCAACCTGCTAAAGAGATTGGAAAGACAGAAAAAAATCTCACCAGTTTATGTAGCTCAGGCATATACAATCCCTTACATACATGTTCTCAAGATAAATAATGATTAGTCCTCAAATAAAAGGACTCAACAGCACCATTTATTACACACATTTCAACTTAAATTCACCTGGTAATTGAAGTGGCCATTTGTCTTCACTAATTGACTTTATCCAAAGTAATCATAAAACTTGTATTTTTATGACAGATAGTTATCATTTGAAACCAGAGAGCTAAGTTAAATTCCTGAGGAGATGAAGAAATAGGCATGCTATCTTCATTGATATTAATGTTTTGAAGAGATGACTCCCAAATCATTGAAAAAGATATTCTTGGGTTGTAAAACTGGCAAAAGGCTTACTTAGATTTTCAAAAGATTTGCATACATTTCAAAGGAGTAGAGGAAGAAAGAACCCCAGGGTCCTCATGTCTTTGATTAAATTTAACTTTAAATCTTAGCTCAAGAAGTCATTTCCCTACACACACACACATATGCACACACACACAGGATCTGACAGAAGTAATGCCTGCTTGAGTGTGGCTGGTAGGGTAATAATATGGGTGTAATAATTTATGGTTTTAATTTGAACATTCACCTAAAATGTTGTATGATGTGTTTGAATGTGATATTGCTATGTTACAGAATTACATGCTTATGATTTTGTAATAAAAGTTTTTATAATAAAAGGGAGCACTATTTGTGCCAGGCTCTTTATATCCCTCAGAGACCTAGGTTCCCCCATCCCCATAATCAACAACCCCTAAGGCAGAAGAAGACAGTAGCCTGGACCTGACTAATGATCACAAGATCACAAGGTCCGGACCTCTGGCAGGTTAAAGACAATATCTTGACCTAAGTTACATTTGAGCTCCTGAGCCCTAAGGTGGAATAAACTCCTGGCTACTTTCCCATAAAACTGGAGAGAGGGACATGGAAACAGTCCTCAGAACTGTCCTCAAGACCTGAAAAAATGACTTATTACCCTTACTTCACCTCTGAACAATAAGTTCCTAGCATGACCTCAACCCTTAACCAATGGTGTCTTATGATTTGTGCCCTATATAATCTGTAACCTACATGCCAGCAAGGAGTTCAGGCTTTTGAGCATTAGCTTTGTGTTGCCCTGGATGGCACCACTTATCAGTAAAATAGCCAATATTTCTCCACTACAATTCGTAGTGTTCAGTGTTTGGCTTTGCTAGAGCTGGATCTGTTCGATAGCAAGTATTCCCAATCAAATGTTTTCCAGAGTACATGGTTTAAGAAAGGGCAGGGATGTGACTCTTATCCTTTGTGTGCCATGGAAAACTTCATTTTCCCCCTTTTTAAATGTGTCTTTACCCTTACACCTGCTGTGGAAAATCTATACTGGGCAAACAGTGGAAGCCAAGTAGCTGACACCAGCTCACACCATTTCATAGTGAACAGGTTCTGCCCTGAGTAAGGAGGGCAAGCCAAAGCATCTTGCAGCTTCCTGGCCCTGCCTGAGGGGAATAACATTATTTGGATAAGAGCATGGAAGAATTTAAAGCCCAGGGCAATATCTAAAACAATAGGTAACAATTAGACTGTGACACCAATAAAGAGAGATAAGCCTGAAATCTAAAAAGAGTTTAGTGAAAGAGATCATCAAAGAGGGTCCTGTTAAAATTATGTTTATATCTTGTGGCCCACACTACCTAAAATGTCCATTTTTCAAGAAAAATATTATAAGACATGCAAAGAAAGAGGAAAGGGTGACTTGTACACAGGAACAAAACAAACAATACAAGCTACATTTGAGGGGGGCTGGTCAAAGACTATAAGCTATCTGTTATGGATATATTCAAATAACTAAAGTAAACCAAATTTAATGAATTATTGGAAGGTATGATGGCTATGTTTCATCCGGTAGAAAATATCAATAAAGAGAAATTATTTTTCAAAAGGAATCAAATAAAAAGTCTGGAGTCCATGCCTGGGCTGGTGTAGCTCAGTGGATTGAGCGTGGGCTGAGAACCAAAGGGTGGCCAGTTTGATTCTAAGTCAGAACACATGCCTGGGTTCTGGGCCAGGTCCCCAGTGGGGGCCATGTGAGAGGCAACCACACATTGGTGTTTCTCTCTCTCTTTCTCCCTCCCTTCTCCTCTCTCTAAAAATAAATAAATAAAATCTTTTTAAAAAAGTCTGGAGTCCTAAATTACAATAATTGAAATGCAAAAGTCACTGGAGAATCCTTATAAAATGGAGATGGGGCCAAAGTCTAAAAAATGTTGGGTTAACAGAAGCAGAGGTTAGAGTGATGGCTTTGAAGGAGGGAGAAGGAGACAGGAGCTTAAAATGTGGGTGGACTTCTCATTTTGTTCTTGTATTGTTTTCCTGATATTGTTAAATTATTTATCTCTATTTTCTTGTAGCTCTCCAAACATCTGCAAAACAATTATTTTGAGTTCCTTGCAGGTAATTC